TCATAAATTAATGATAGTGGATGGTGTGGCATATTAATGACGACAATTAAATGCATGAGACAGTGGACTAAGCTGAGGTGGACTGCTTACATGTCGAGATAGAATGACCAGCGGAGGTTTAAGATTACAAGATACTAAAGAATTCTCGCGCAAGCGCGGGAATGAGCGATGACTCTTATGTTGCTATTATTATATTATTATTGTTATTATTATGAAGTGGTGCGTATTTAGAATTTTATATATAAATTGAAAACAAAAGCAGCTAGTGCCTATTGGACTACTCTGAAATTTCACTATCATGCAAAAATACCAGAAGTATTAAAATGTAATATCTAAATTTCTAAGATTGTAGAATACTTTTTTTAATAACTGATGAACATGGGAAATGATATGGAAAAGCGGATATCGAACTAAATGAAACAAAGTAATACATCATCCACGAAGACCTAATCGATAGAGTCAAATAACACAAAGCACATGAGCTTTTTTTTACACGCGTACCAGTAGCAAATTGGTTGATTGCCATGTACATGGTAGGCCCCAATCAGAAGCTACCTCATCTCTCTCCCGTGATTCCCCATCATCCATCTACGGATTTACCCATTCGCTTCATCACGGGCTCGACCAGACAACTCATGCGCGAGCGGCCATCGAAGATTCGGAGGTTGTGGCGAGGCTGCTGGTCGGGTTCTCATGCCGCCACTGCACGGGGTGGGGAGACCTTCGGCAATCCTGAGCCATGCGGAGCGCGTGTGGCAAGGATCTCGCGGCAGCGGAACTGATGAGGCGGCTTCCTGGTCTCTCCAGAACCCTTCCCTACGTATTCTGATTTGATGACGACGAAAGACCTAGATAGTGCTACTTGCAACAGGAGGGTGGAGGTGATTAGATGAGGCCGAAGAAGCAGCAGAATTTAAAGGAAGCAGAATAGCAGATGGGTAGAAGAAGCGACGAGCTCCTCGACCTTTCGGTTGTTGTGTGTGGATGTGACGAATCTCTGGTGGGGGCGGAGGTGGAGGTGGATGCGTGAGTAATAACTGATGCGGTTGCCCAAATTCTATTGGAAGGCCAGTTGCGGTCCGAGTTTCACTGTAGTTTCATTGCCACGTATGTACTTTTAATGACACGGTAACGTTTTAATGAAGAGAAAAAAAAATTAGGTTTCATGGGATGAAACTCTCTGGATACAGTTACCAACTCTCTACGAGTCATAGAATTAAATGTCTATGAAATCATGGAATGAAACTTTTTATTGAGAGTGTGTGTTTTATTCAAGTTTTATTTCATTCTATATGACATGGCAGTCTTGTAAATAACGAAATGGAACTCTCCACTGAGACCTGGCCTAAGTAGGCGGAGGTGGAGCCTCTGATTAATTAAGATTGTTGCGGTTCTTTTTTTTTTAAAATAAAAAACATCTCCTGAATGGCAAGGTGGGATAGGGAGGTGGAGGTGGAGGTAGAGGCATGGGCCGAGCAATGACATGGAGGGCGTGGAATGAGAAAAATAGATTAGTGGAATTTTGCTTTATAAGAATTTAAGATATTAATATATTAATTTTGATTTTGTTTCAAAAACTTGTAATCCTTGCCTAACTGAAGTTTGGACATACTACCGTGCATACGTACATGTGCAGCTTGGAGAACTGGTACTATAAGACTTTCTCTATACTTAAAAAATAAAGATGTTTTGGATAAGACTTGGGTCAAACATTGAGAATATAAATTATGAATAATTTTTAAGTTGTTGAGTTTGGAAATATAAAAACCACATATATAGATTTGTCATGAAAAATACTTTCACAAAAATTTACATATATCATTTTTGATAAATATCTTTATAAAAATAAGTAGTTAAAGTTATGCTTTGGAGATCATGTTGCTGTCTAAAATGACTTCATTTTTTTTTTTAGTACGGAGGGAGTATTGATCTTGCTGACCGGGAACCTCAAGAACGCGGCAGTTGCGGTGGATGCCCTCTCCATCTGGTAAGTTTTCTCCGTTTGAATGAGCCTGTTTGAGCACTGCGAAATGCGAATGCCAAGTATACACCATACCAGAATGATATACTACACCAATGACCATGGCTTACTAATTCCCTTCGATATATATGCAGCATGAATATTAATGGATGGGAGATGACGATTCCACTGGCATTTTTTGCCGGCACCGGGTATATTTTTTTTTTATCCGCACAAGTTTCGTAGTACATACATTTTCTTCTTTAACTGTAAAAAAATACCAAACTGCACTGGCTTAATAATAGTGGAGTTTACATGACTTGTGAGATAATTAATGGTATTACTACCATCAACTAATGTTAGCCAGGGTATGCACATTGGCTATTTGGCTGTTCTTTCAGGGTGCGCGTGGCCAATGAGCTCGGTGCGGGAAATGGCAAGGGCGCCAGGTTTGCGGCGACTGTATCATCCACGACCTCGCTGGTGATTGGGCTCTTCTTTTGGGTGCTGATCATGGGCCTCCGCGACATGATCGCTCTCATCTTCACCACCAGTGCTGTCGTGCTGGATGCCGTCGATAAGCTCTCGCTCTTGCTGGCCTTCACTATACTCCTCAACAGCATACAGCCTGTCCTGTCAGGTGAGTGAGAGCACTCAGCTCCCCTAAGCTATACTCCTTAATTGCATTGGCTAACCCAAATTAAAAAGCTCATAGGCCATGTATCTATTACGTAGTAGAACATTATTGAAACTTCACGAGACTAGTTAAGCTCATGCTATCTGAAAAACAAAACAAAAGCAAGGAATTCTCATGTTTCAAACAAAAAATAATTAATCTAAGGCCCCCTTGGAAACTGAGGAATTTTATAGGATTCAGGCTCTGTTTATTTCAGCTTTCTGTTGGGAGCTTTTGGACTTCAGCTTTGGGACCTTCCCAAAACCGAAAAGCTCACGGAAACCAAAAGCAAGAAGCTCTTTCAAAGTGAGCTTTTGCCTCGTGAAAGGTTTTTGGCTTTTGGAAGGTCTCAAAGCCGAGGTCCAAAACTCGTAAAAAGTTTTTCCCAATAAGAACCTTTGGATTGGGCCGGGAGCAAATAAAGGATTCCACTGAATTCAACAAAACCCATAAAAAATTCCCTGGCACCGCCTGCGTGTGTTCTCACTGGGCAAACACTTACACTGTGCTCCTCATTTCAGGTGTGGCTGTTGGGTCAGGATGGCAGTCTACGGTGGCGTACATCAACATCGGCTGCTATTACATCATCGGCATACACATGGGCGTCCTCCTCGGATGGCTCTTCAACCTTGGCTTGCTGGTACGCAACGCATCGCTACTACTCCCGCTCGTGTTGGCCACCCGGTCTGTGTCTGTTGCTTGATCGTGTGTCGTGACCAGCGCCACCTTCTTCTTCTTCTCGTGAAATCTTTTGCAGGGGATCTGGGCAGGCATGATCGGCGGAACCACAGTGCAGACGCTCATCCTGGCCGTCATAACCGTTCGCTGCGACTGGGGAAAACAGGTGAGAAACCGCTATAGCTGCTCGTTTCTTTAGCGTGCTAGTAGCTTGCAGATACGTTTGATCTGCTGCTCGTGTGGCGATGATGCTGTATATATATGACCATATATATATTGGGGGTCGGCGTCGTTGCATTGGCAGGCTATTATCGCGAGCACGCGCATGGACAAGTTATCGCAGGTCCGGTGAAGTACATGTTCAGGCATACATATGATCGAGGAGTAACCAATGCAAAACCCTCTTTCCGTCCCTCTCCCTACCGATCAAGAATCTGGATCCCTTGCACGAAATCATGTAAAATATTGGTAGGCAATTGGATCATATTAGTACCTGATCATGACACTTCTGTGTTTATTCATTTGTAATTTATTACAGGTGTACGTTCTCACTTGTATCTACGTATACGAGATGTATATACAAACTCAGTAAAAAGAATTGCAATTGCTTGTCAGCTTCTTCATTCTAGACCCAGTCCGCGTGTGCTCGCTTCATATATTATTATGGAAAGACGGTTAGAAGAAGTGATCTCAGGCGCATAGATAGAATGACCCTCTTCCCATGCACTAGGTTGACTAGCGGTCGTGGCCTCAGGTGGTCCAGCAATAAGTTAAAGAGGGATGGTCAGTTATCATAGGTTAGTTGACCAAGCCTCTTTAACTCTAAGTCCACTGAGTCTGAGGGTGGTGGATCCGCTTGAAGGCCGTCAACTCTCTTCCTCACCAACAACAGCAGGCAATGCTTATGCACTAGGTGAGTGCACTTGTGGAATTAATGTTATACACGATAGGCAATATAAACGACGAAGAACAGTAGATCAAGCACAGGGGACGCGAGATTTTAACGTGGAAAACTCTCCCAAAGTGGAAGAGAAAAACCACAGGCACCAACCAGCAAATCTTCACTATATCGGGTGAGGTTACAAACGTCGGAGATTTACAACTTAGGGATACCCTAACCTGGAGGCCTTCCCGTATAGAAGTCTATGATGCATTTTTTTCATGAGGGAGGTAGTCCGTATATACAGGGAGGAAAAACCCCACACCCTCGTCTATTAGCAATACGGAACTAATAGATGATGTAGTCCCTCTTAACGCTAATGGGTCGCTTCGCTTCGGCCCAAGCTTGAATTTGGATTATAGCTCAACAAACTCTACCTTGAGACAAATTCCTTCTTATAGCATAAAATGAACATTCACCCTTGAATTTGGATTATAGCTCAACAAACTCTACCTTGAGACAAATTCCTTCTTATAGCATAAAATGAACCTTCACCCTGAAACAACAAAAAAATACTTCCGGTGCTAAATAGCCTCTTGGGCTAAACAGTTATACCAACTAAGCTTGAGCAAAGCTCAAACTTAGCAACAGGAACTGGCTTTGTCAACATATCAGCAGGATTATCATGTGTGCTTATCTTGCATACCTTCAGCTTACCTTGCGCGACCACATCACGAATATAATGGTATTTGACATCAGTGTGCTTCGTTCTCTCATGGAACATCTGATCTTTAGTGAGACATATATCACTTTGACTGTCACAAAATAAATTAATGCAAGAATCATCTCAAAAAGCTTAGCAAACAAACCTTTCAACCAAACTGATTCTTTACATGCTTCAGCAATAGCTATGTATTCTGCTTCAGTGGTAGACAGGGCAACAATGGGCTGTAATGTTGCCCTCCAACTCACAGCACAACCACCAATAGTGAACACATAACCTGTGAGAGATCTCCTCTTATCCAAATCAGCAACAAAATCTGAATCCACGTAGCCAGTGAGTCTCTTACCAGTCCTGTCAAACTTCAAACAAGCATTTGTTGTGCCACGAAGGTACCTGAAAATCCACTGAACAACCTTCCAATGTTCTTTACCAGGATCAGCCATGTATCTACTAATCAAACTCATAGCATATGATAAATCAGGACGAGAGCAAACCATGGCATACATCAAAGAACCAACAGCACTAGAATATGGAACTCTTGACATGTACTCAAAATCCTCATCCGTACTAGCACATTGTAAAGCTGATAATTTGAAATGAGGAGCAATAGGAGTACTAACACACTTTGCATCATGCATGTTGAAACGATAAAGAACTTTCTTAATGTAACTTTGCTGACTAAGAAATAACAAACCAGAATTTTTGTCTCTTATAATTTCCATACCTAGAATCTTCTTAGCAGCACCAAGATCCTTCATCTCAAACTCACTACTCAACAGTTTCTTCAACGTAGTGATTTCTTTCTTGCTCTTGGCAGCAATCAACATATCATCAACATATAACAACAAATATATAGGTGATCTATCAACAAATTTAATATACACACAGCTATCAAATTCAGACCTCTTAAAACCATGTGACATCATAAAAGAATCAAACCTTTTATACCATTGATGAGGAGACTGTTTCAAACCATATAAGGACCTCTTTAATTTGCAAACATGATCCTCTTTACCAGGTACTTTAAACCCTTCTGGCTGGTCCATGTATATCTCCTCCTCGAGCTCTCCATTTAGAAACATAGTCTTTACATCTAACTGCTCAAGCTCAAGATCTCGCATAGCAACAATACCGAAAAATGTATGAATTGAACTGTGCTTTACAACTAGAGAGAACACATCATTATAATCAACGCTAGGAATCTGACTAAAACCTTTTGCTACTAATCTTGCCTTAAATCTTGGAGGCTCACTAGGAGACAAACCCTCCTTTCTTTTGAAGATCCATTTGCAACGAACGACCTTCTTGTGTTTAGGCAAGCGCACAACATCCCATGTGCCATTTTTCTCAAGTGATTGCATCTCTTCTTGCATAGCGGAAATCCACTTCTCGCGGTCAGCAAAAACAACAGCTTTAGTGTATGTAGCCAGCTCATGAATGTTCTCAACCTGTTCAGCACAACTAAAGGCATAATGCATAATATCACATTCCTCAATTAAACGTGGACGAGGTCCACAACTCCTCTTTGTTCTACGATCTACAATAAATTGATTTTGAGGCTGCAAAATAGGAGGTGAGTGCTGAACAATATCATGAACATTGTTATCAACAATTTCAGTTTCCTGATCATCTACGTGCTCCACCTGCATGCTAACATGTTCCTGCTCCTCATTAGAACCAAATGGTGAAACATCTGTGGACAAACTGTCATTAAACACAACAGATTCATTGAAAACAACGTTCCTGCTCATGAAAGTCTTTTTAGTTTTAGGATTCCATAACTTATATCCTTTAACTCCAGAACCATAACCAAGAAACAGACGCTTAATGGCTCTAGGTTCTAGCTTTCCATTATCAACATAGCATAAGTTGTGCAACCGAAAACTCTCAACTGTGAATAATCAGCAGGCATACCAGACCATACCTCAATGGGAGTTTTCTTATTAAGTGGGATAGAAGGTGACCGGTTGATCAAGTAACAGGCGATGTTAGCAGCCTCAGCCCAAAAATGGCTATTCATACGAGCATTGGACAGCATGCAACGAGCCCTCGAGATGATGGTTCGGTTCATGCGCTCAGCCACACCATTCTGCTGAGGAGTGCATGGGATGGTGTGGTGCCTGACAAGGCCTTCTTCCCTGCAGTAATCATTAAAAGCATCCAAACAGAATTTACCACCATTGTCAGTACGAAGCAATTTTACCTTCTTTTCAGTTTGCCTTTCTATCATAACTTTCCACTCTTTAAAAGCAGCAAAAGTATCATCTTTATTTTTCAGAAAGTAAGGCCACACTTTTCTAGAGTAATCATCAATAATGGTAATCATGTAACGAGCACCACCATAAGAGGGCTTACGAGACGGCCCCCACAAATTAGCATGTACATAATCAAGTGTACCTTTGGTGGTATGAACAGATGCATTGAATTTTACCCTCTTGTGCTTACCAAAAACACAGTGCTCACAGAACTTTATCTTACCCACAGTGCAGCCATCGAGTAGGTCTCTCTTGATCAATTCTGCCATACCAAGTTCACTCATATGCCCAAGACGCATATGCCAGAGATTAGTTTTACTTGGTTCATCATTAGAAACAGTAGCAACAGTGACAGAACCATGTAAAGTACTTCCTCTAAGAACATATAACTTTGCAGAATTCATATCACCTATCATATGAATGAGAGAGCCTTTTGATACCTTACACACTCCACTTGAACTGGAGTGTCTGTACCCCTCGGCATCAAGTGTGCTGAGGGAGATGAGATTTCTGGTCATCCCTGGTATGTGTCTCACATCTTTCAGTGTGCATATCATGCCATCATGCATCTTGATCTGAACGGAGCCAATGCCCACGATCTCACGTGGGTTGTTATCTTCCATACGCATGACATCTCCACTCTGCATAGACTTATAAGAACTGAACCAATCTCTGTTAGAGCATATATGAAACGAGCATGTAGAATCAAGTATCCATTTATCACGACCAGCAACACAACCAACAAAAACAACCAGAACATCTCCTGAATCAGAATTATCAACAGCGGAGACAACAGAGGCCTTACCATCACCATCGGATTTATTTTTTGGTTTATACGTACCGTTTCTTTTCTCCTTATTCTGCAGCTTCCAACAATCCTCAATGACATGAGTATCTTTCTTACAATACCTACAGAACTTATCCCTGCCTCTGGACTTCGAACGTCCTTTACCGTTCTTGCTCTTGTCTCGATTATTGTTGTTATTGTAGGTTTTCTGCTCGGGCCTGCCTCTAACCTGCAACACTTTGCCCTTAGAGGACAACACATCAGACTGAACCATACCTTTCATCTTCTCCCTCGTCTGGAGGGCCTCATATACTTCCGCAAGGGTTAGTTCATCATGGCTTAATAGTATGGTATCTCGGAAATTTGCAAACGAAGTAGGCAGTGAGCATAATAGTAGAAGAGCTAAATCTTCATCATCATATTTTACCTCCATCGACACTAGGTCGGCAACGATCTCCTTAAAGATCGATAAGTGGTTCATCACCGAACCACCTTCTTGCAGCTTGTGCGTGAACAACTTCATCTTCTGTGCATCTTACTGGTTAGATCCTTGGACATGCAGATCGATTCCAGCTTGAGCCAAAGTTCTGCGGCAATTTTCTCCTGCAGCACTTCTTGCAAAATATCATTATGTAGATGAAGTTGAATCAGAGACAGAGCCTTACGATCCTTCCGCTTCTCTTCAGCGGTCCATGACTTCTGCCCTTTTCCTCCAAAACCGTCCAGCGCCTCATCAAGATCCGAAGATTGTGCCAGAATCGCCCGCATCTTGACTTGCCACAGTGCAAATCTCATCTTGTAATCCAGCAGCAGTAGATCAAACTTCATCGATGCCATCGCGAAACCCTAAGGTCAAGCCAAGCTCTGGTACCACTTGTTATACACGATAGCCAATATAAACGACGAAAAACAGTAGATCAAGTACAGGGGACATGAGATTTTAATGTGGAAAACCCTCCCAAGGTGGAAGAGAAAAACCACAGGCACCAGCCAACAAATCTTCACTATATCGGGTGAGGTTACAAACGTCGGAGATTTACAACTTGGGGATACTCTAACCTGGGGGCCTTCCCATATAGAAGTCTATGATGCATCTTTTCCATGAGGAGGTGGTCCGTATATATAGGGAGGAAAAACCCCACACCCTCGTCTATTAGCAATACGGAACTAATAGATGGTGTAGTCCCTCTTAACGCTAATGGGCCGCTTCGCTTCGGCCCAAGCTTAAATTTGGATCATAGCTCAACAATTAACACATCACAACCTACTTCATCGATGTCAGACTACCTGGCTTCAAGTTATGGTCAGTGATCCTAATCCATATTAGATTAATTAGTGTTCATGTAATTAGATTAGTTATCCTATGGTTCAACCTCCCTATTTTCTAACGAAGATCACTTGTCGATAAGATTAGCGAATTGTTGTAGTAATTATAGAAATAGTAGCAATTAGGTGTTCCGGTTGCTCGAATTGCTTCGTTGCTGTTATGTTTCTTGTTAGCAACTCACTACGTGATAGAATAACAAATTACAATAATGCTATCTCAGGCAAGCAACGATACTGATAATCCGATACAAATGAGAGAGAATGTGTGAGAAGAAGCACAACAGGGGAATTGGAAACAGAAAAGGCACAGCTAGGGTCCAAGATAAAATACTAGAATTACAAGATTTGTGTACAAGAGAGAGGGAGCCAGGGAGGAAGAAGAAAGAATAGTAGTGATATGCAGATTATGCTTCTCTCTAGATATTCAAGATTGTTGTTATGCTGTTATGCTGCCCTTTTTGTACCCAGAGTCTTTGAGTGACCCTTTCAAATAAAAAAGAGTTTTGAGTGATGAGCTATTGTTGACTTGCCGAGGCTTATGGCTCAAGAGTTGGTGGCTCAACATTCGTCACGAACTTTGGGGAAGATTAGACAAGCTGCGTATTACTGGCCAGTTTAGCAAAGCTCCACTCCTAGCTTCTTTGAAAGCGGATTCTGTGGATCTCTATCAAATGCTAAAAATGTAACTGGATTCTGATGAGAACTGATGAGAATCACTTCTCCATTTACGTTACAAGCTGAGAGCTAAAACAACCGCTCTCCACCGATCCCTACCGCTCCCCGTTCAATCATCACTATAATTACTTCAGGATCAATTCTCACCCGCTCTCCATCTTGCTCCCCCACCAAAATCATTTCATTGAAAAATCAAAAAATGAAGCATAAAAATGCGAAAGGAGAGCTCCGCCAAACCAGGCGTGGGGTGTGGGATGTCGTCGTGGAGATCGATGGATGATCGATCGATTCTAAGCAAAGGCTATTTTAATCTCTTTGATTGCAAAGAAAGATAAAGAAAACTGAAAAAAAACTGAGAAAACTCCAAATGAAAGAGGTCACATAGGCCTAGAGTTATTTTATACTCCCTTCACTTTATATCGCAGGACGTTTTGACTTTTCTAAATATTTTGCTATATACATAGACACTGTGTATATCTAAGTACATATTAAAAGCTATAAATCTACAAAAGTTAAACAGAAATGCTTAGAGGCGAGCGTCCGATCTTTCGGACGCTACTGTTGCCGTGGGCCGCGATGTTGGCATGAACGGCCCAACAAGTGTGTTCCATTATGCTCACATTTTTTATTGGGAAATCGTTCGGTCGTTGTCCACTCTTCAGAATAGAAACCCCACCCTCCACTCGTCGAGCTAGGTCCTAGACTCCTAGCACCACCGCCGCATGCCATGATGCTCCGCCGTGGTGGTCGCCCACCTGCCACCATCCTTCTCTCCATCAGTGGTGCTCGCGCGCCATAGCTGGCGCTGATGTTGGTGGTGCTCGCTCTGCCCATCGTGCGCGCCGCCTGCTCCCCCCCATCACGTGCGCTGCCCGCCTGACCGAGCCAAGCCCGGTGCTAGTGGCGCTAGTGTTGTTGTTGGTGGTGGTGGCTCTCGGACCGTGCACTGGTGCTAGTGGTGCTCGCGTGCTGCCGCTCATCGCTGGCTCCAACCGCAACAGCTGGAATCGACCAGGCCTGGCCTCCCCCATGTTGCAAAACACATGTTTCAAGTGTTTCAGATGTTTCATAGGTATATGTTGTAAGTGTTTTATATGGATGTAGCAAAAGTAGATCGGGATATTGCATATGTCGCAACGGTTGTACACATATGTTGCAAGCTTTTCTTCTCAATGTTTCATCTATTTTTCAGATATATGTTACAAGTGTGCGTATATGGACGTTGCATATGTTTCGCGTTGTAAGTGTTTTCTAGATGTTGCGTATGTTTACCATGGTTTCAAGTGTTTTTTCAAGTGTTTCAGACGTATGTTTCATCATTTTAAGATATATATGTTGCAAGTATTGCATCTGAATGTTTCAAAAGTAGATCGGGTGTTGCATTTTCCTCCTCGCCTCCTGTTGCCTCGCCTAGATGTCTCCTTCGCCTTCCACGCCGCCAACGAGGTCCGCCACGGGCGTCTGGGTCCTTCCCCTTCTAGTTGCTCAAATTGGGCGTATGGCAGCGGTAGGGGCCAGTGTTGGCGTGGGATGGCAATCGAATGCGGATAGACCACATCGGCTAGCGAGGCATGAGGCTTTTTTAGGAAAGAGTCGCAAGGCTGTGGATGAGCGCAATATGTCCGGATGCGTCCTTTGGCCAAACGTCCGGGCGCTAGCTCTTCCGAAAGTTAAAATACCTTATAATGTGAAATATTTTGGAATGGACACAAATTGAGTATTCAGATTTGTCGGGGACCAATACTAGGGTACCCGAAGAGAAGGAGCTAATAACCATCAACATTGATTCATCCGAGCAGTCAAGAGCGTGACTACAGCTCCAACCGACACCTGATGCGCAAGCTCTGCCTCGCCCGACCTCTTAGGGCTGGCTCCGCCTCTCTCGGCCTCTGAGGGCAGGCTACGCCTCGCCCGACACCGAGGCCGTGGGCTCCACCTCACCTGACCTCTGAGGGCTGGCTCCGCCTCACCGGGCCTCTGAGGGCGGGCTTCGCCTTGCCCGACACCGAGGTCGCGGGCTCCGCGCCTCCTGACCTCTGAGGGCGGGCTCTGCCTCGCCCGACCTATTGGGACGGGCTCCACCTCGCCCGATCCTTGGGTTTACGCTCCGCCTCGCACGACCTCCGAGGGCGGGCTTCGCCTCGCCTGACACTGAGGCCGCGGGCTCCGCCTCGCCTGACCTCTGAGGGCTGGCTCCGCCTCGCTCACCCCTTAGGTTTGTGCTCTGCCTCGCTCGGCCTCTAGGGGGACTCTGCCTCAACCGACCTTGAGGCCGGGGGATCCATCTCGCTCGACGAAGACCCATACTGCCACCAACCACTCCAGGGCCAAGCAAATGGGCCTAGGTCAAAGCCCTGACACCAGGGAGGTGACTGGCACGCCCTGATATAACCCGTGGCCATGACGGGCCATACCTGGGGATTCACATCAGGAACAGCGTCGAGCGTATCAGTGCTGTTCTGCCTAACCCTCGTACGAGCACTGACAGGCACGTTAGTTCATCATGACGTCCGCCAGGATGGAGTGGAGCGCCACGACTAGGAAACAACGCCTGCGCATGGCACCAGTGATGGACAGGGCCGCGACATGGAACTGTCCCTGTTGATGTCTACAGGGTTGGCGGGACCCATGTGAAGGAAAAGAAGGACCCGACGATCCTGGAGGACCTCTTCTCCTTCTCATTCTTTTCTTTTCCCTCCACTGTAACCCGTGCTTTCCCTTGGCCTATAAAAGGGAAAGTAGGGCGTTCCATGAAGAGGACTCGAACCCATTGAACCCTAAACCAATCAGAACACACAAGCACACAACCGGGAAGCGATCGAGCTCTCGGCACCCGTTCGCTCCTCTCACCAGAGACTTAGGACATATCCCTCTCTCGACCATTTGTAACCCATACTATGAACTTTCAGTGCTAGTAACACAAGTCGATTACCAGAGAGCCCTTCTCCCTAGAATACCTCATCCGGAGCGTCCCGATAGCGCTCCTGTTCGGTCTCCGCAATGCCGCAGAGACCATTGACCACCCTGTGGCGCAACGCACGCTTCCATCCCCCGCAAACGACGAGGTCGTGGGGATGACCGAATATGTTATGGAATCTTTTCACGACCTCCTCGTGAGAGAAATGGAGTCGCCCTCCACCTCTAACTCTAGTAGGGGGAGCCGTCACCCCTCTTGTGAGTGTTTCATGGTAGGTACCCCCAAGGGACACGTTGGAAGCATCCACAAGGAAGAGGCTACCCCAACGAACAACCTCGATGATGAAGTTGAGAGGGATGCAGGGGCCCCACCACGCCTGCGGGTGGAGCAGCTGAAGGCCTAGCACCAAGAGCTTGAGGAAGCGCTACTCTAGCTCGAGCAAGAACGCGTGGAGCTCAAGCGAGAGATCGAGCGCAACGGAGATGGTGGGCATGCGCACGCCATGGCCCGCGATGTGAACCAAAGGATCATCGATGATGACAAAGCGCTCCCACACTTTGCCCGGCCCAGCCAGAACATCGCTGCTATGGCCGCCTTGCTCTGGGGGCTTCTGGGACCCACGATGACTAAAGACCGTTAGGACCATCACGAGATTCGCACGCTACTCGAGCGTGCGGCGGCACAGCAGGCCGAGAGCTCGCTATCTCAGAGATGCAAGCTCGACGCCAGCCGGCACACGCCCTTGGAGTGACCGACAAAGACGTGTCAGTCCACCAGGTGCCATAAGGCGGTAGGCTGTGCACCGCGGTCTCGGTACATTAGCGTCTTGACCGTAACCATGACGCGCATGACACCCTCGATGCCCGCAGGTGTGTCCATGGCGATCCAAGGGAGGGAGCTAGCCACGGCTACCACCCTC